AAGAGCAGGCCAACTGCTCTATGATGATAGCTTGGGTGGATTGATCCCCACCTAAGGATTTCTTTAAGTACAGGAAACTTCCAGGGAAATTGTCCAATGGTTTTTATAAAACCAATAAAAATAATACTGTAATGACACCCCCAGGCATAAATGGGGTTAAACGTCGTTTAGGAGATATTCCCTTTCAGTTACACAGGCAGCTACTCAGGAGACCAATCTCACGAACTGGAAACCATACGAATTCTCCAAACTCCTGAACTAGAACCATACGAATGCTTCAAACAGCCCTCCGCTCCCAGCAGCCGGCTCTACACTGAGTGCACTGAATGACGTCACAGCGGACTGTGGGAGGCGTACCTGGGAAAAAGGCCAGTCTGCTTTGGAGTTCTCTTCCAAACTCATTCTGTGTGCTGTCCATAAGAGGTGCTGCAGCAGCTGCCCGGTCTCCCTCCATGAGTTCAGCAATAAGGGTAGCTTTGGTTTTATTGCTGGCAATAATTCCCCTTGCTTCCAATAGTTCTTTTAGCGTGGCCCGTTTCAAGTTGGTATAGTCTGTCCCCATTCACTATCCGTTCGGGTATATTCACATACCCTTTCCTTTCGGTTCCATATGAAATAGCAAATTTCCCAAATGGCTGTAACTGCCGAACAACGGTCTGCTGTGAGGTTTGAATACCGTCGCTGCCACCAATTGTGACGGACCCGCTGGCACTCCGACCGAGTACCTCCGCCAATCGATGCTCCTAGTGCTTGCCGAGGACTTCAAGCACTCCAACCGACACCATCAGCACTGCAGACTTATCCCATCCCCCAAGCATGAGCCAAGGCTTCAAGAAAGGGTCAAGCAGGTCTGTTTTAATGAGCACACAAAGCAACAGCACTCACGCAGCAAAAACAACTCCTCCTCAGAGGAAAACAAACTGACAATTAATGACAGACAGCGTTTGAAAATATGACAGTTATTAAGGGTTTTTAAACTGGTGTTCTAGGAGGGAGGGGAATAAAACAGTCAAACTAAGTCCATAAAACAGGGTTTTTTTTTCTTCACACTCTGCATCCGAAGTGCATAGCAAAAGTACAGATCCTTTGTCAGAGCATTTAAAGGGCCAGAACCAGTCTAATAAAATCCACTATGCTCAAATAACATACAGTTCAAATACAGGCAATAATCAATGCAAAAGTCTCTTGTGGCTGCTTCTGCCACAATGCCCCCCCCAGAACCAAGCCGGAATACACAGTCTGATCCCAACGGATCTGCTTGGGGATGTCCGGAGGAGTGCTCACAGATCATTTCTTGAGTTCTGTCTGTCTGGACAACCCGTCGGCGTTACCATTTTGTTTCCCTGGGCGATACTGGATGGTGTTTAAATAACATACAGTTCAAATACAGGCAATAATCAATGCAAAAGTCTCTTGTGGCTGCTTCTGCAGTTGATTTCTCCATCACCTCTTTTGTTGCTTCTTTTAGCATCTGAATCCAACTATTTGATCAGGTAGCAGATAATATATAGAAATTTTTATTATGTAATAATCGCTTTACAATGTAAGATTATGAACTTAGGATATTTACCCGTTTTGGTATATATACAATATTACATGTAAACCCAATGACAGCAATTGAGCCTTTAAACATTGGATATAAATTAGTAAATGATCTAAAAGTTATTGCCTGTCATTTATATTCTTTTATTGGGAAAAAATATTTAAATAACATTCATTGTAAAACATTTATCACCATCTTAGACTTTTAAACATACAACATTTTCATAATTTATCTCCTTGATACACTTTTGTTCAGTTAATTTCAACCCATATCCATTAATACAAATTATAATATTTAATAATTATTTATAAGTATTTTTACATTTAAAGTATCAACTACTAGGAGAAAATTACAATAACCCATACTACATTCATACCTAAAACTAATGGGGTGGAGAGAGAGAAGAAAATAACATTTAAAAAAAAACCAAAAAAAAAAAAACGAGGTTTGCATATTTAATCAGTTTTTTTGGTACCAAAGTTAAATGTAAGTTTCTTTTAATTATCATTGTTTTTTCTATAAATTACCCAGGGGTTCCAAGTTTCATGATATTTCTTCTTGTTGTTAGGAGTCTTATCTAAAAAAAATTCCACATTACATTGAAATTGGATCTGATTAATAATTTCATTAGGGCCCCGGAATATCCTTCTGTTTCCAGTAACGTGCTTTGCAAAGTTTAATTGCCATAAAAATTTGAATCAATAAAAATTTTGCATATCTGGAGGTCTTCAAGAAATCTAAATGAAATAAGATTTCGATCTCTATTTTTAGTTCAATATATACCACTCCTTTTATTAATTCCTTCATCCATTTTTTTATTTCGTCAAGTTTATTACAAGACCACCAGATATGCATATGAGTTCCTCTTTTCCTTTCACACCTCCAACATACTCCAGAATTTTCCAAATTAAACTTCTGTAATACGCTTGGAGTTCTATACCATAACTGAACAATCTTGAAATGGGTTTCCCAAATATTTGTATTGTTTACTGTTTTTTAAAAACCATCTAAAAGAGCTAAACCAAGTCTCCAGCAAATATGATCTCTTAAAATCTTTTTCCCAATTAGTCATACCCGGTACCTTTTCATTTTCCTTACTAACAAAGTATTTTGTTAATTTTTTATATACTTTTTTCTTTGTCTGCAGATCCTAGTAATCTATCAATGTTGGATTCTTCTATAATTAGCTTACTTTTCAAAAAAGATGTAACTCTCATAAATGAAAACAATTAATAGGTAAATTATATTTTTCTTGGATTTGAGAGAATCTCATTATTTTCCCTTTATCCATAATATCCCCCAGCTTGCTTATTTCTTGATCCATGCAGCTTTTCAGACTTAGATCTTGGATATATATTTCTATGATTTTTATGGGTGTGTGAGAAGTAAAATATTCTTGTTGTCTTACATATTTTTTTTTTTTATATTTCTAACTGATGTATATAACTCCTGAATAATATAATTGTTTATATTTAAACTTTTAAATGGGCCAACCACCAGGTCAGCTCGTCTTTGGACTCCTCGTTCAGCTTCACTCTCATCTCGTAAGATTGGCCTGCACGCAGGTGAGAGCCCGATAATGGAGTGGTCCAGGGAATATTGCCTGTATCGAGGCGGCCAACAGGCCGATCACCCTCGCCAGATGACGGATAGAGAGATCGTCTGCACGTAATGTACGCCTGATTTCTTTCTTGATGGCCTTCATTTTGGTCTCCGGGAGAAATAGGAACTGTTGGATGGAATCCACTGTAAACCCCAGGAATTCTATTGAAGGAGTGGGGTCTAACATCGATTTTTCCCAATTGATGAGGAAACCTAGGTTTTGGAGTAGAGACGTTGTCCATGTGACATGAAGCTGTAATTGCTCTCTTGATTGAGCCATCAGTAGGATGTCGTCCAAATATATAATTAGACGTACTCCACGGCTTCGGAGGAAGGAAACCACCGGTTTCATGACCTTGGAGAAACACCAGGGGGCCGAAGAGAGCCCGAATGGTAGACATGTAAACTGCCACCGTCTTCCCTTCCAGGTGAACTGGAGGAAATCTCTGTGTTCCTCGGTTATGGGAACCGTAAAATAGGCGTCTTTCAGGTCCAGTTTGGCCATCCAGTCAGATTCCTGTAGAAGATCCCGAAGGCAATGGATGCCTTCCATCTGGAAGTGCTGGTACTGAAGGAAGGCATTGAGGGGGCGGAGGTTGATGACGGGACGCACACCTCCTCCTTTCTTCGGGACCAGAAAGGTTGCTCGTAAACCCTGGATGAGTGAACGGGACCTCGTGTATCGCACCCTTGGCATAAAGTTCCACGATCTCAGAGGAGATCAGTTCTTACTGATCTCGAGCGAGAGACAGTTCCCTGGGGGTAGAAAGCTGAACAGACATGGACACAAAGTCTATATGGTAACCCTTTACTGTGTGGAGAAGCACGCATCTGTCGTTAAGGCAGCCCACGCCTTGTAAAACTGTGCCAATCTGCCCGCCACCCACTCTTGAACATAAGGAAATACAGGGGTACTCACCATAAGGGCGTCTGCCCGACGTGGCCCCTCTCGGATAGCAGGGGTTCCAGGGTCTCCCTCTGGATGGGAAGAATGGAGCCGGTCTGGGCTCCTGGAAGGTTCTAGAAGGGAAGAAGGAGCCTCTTTGAGCCCGAAATGAGCCACTGAAACCTCGGCCGGGTGGACGGCTCCTGTTGCGCCCGGCCCCTCCAAAAACCCTAGGGGAAAACACCCTCTTCATATTGGCTTGGGCCTTATCAATGGCGGTGAATGTCTTCACATAAGATCCCAAGTCCTTGACGAAATTGTCGCCAAACAACATTCCCTCAGCCGAGGGACCTGGTCCTGATATGGCCATGGTAGCCAATTTCGGGTCAAGTTTGAGCAGGGTAGCTTTCCTGCGCTCGGCAGACACGGCCATATTGGCATTGCCGAGCAGACAAATGGCACGTTGTACCCAGCCAATCGCTACATCCAGGTCAAGTTCTGACTCGCCCGATTTGGCTGACTCAAACAGCTCAAAGGCCTTTGACAATGGACCGAGCGTGTCCATGATTTTGTCCTGGCAAGTCTAAGGCTTTTTTCGGTTTCCAGCCCGATTTATTGAGAAACTGCGATCTGTGGATCGACCTCGGGTGTCTTGCACGCCGATCCTGGCACTGAGGGTCTAGGGCATTCTGCCCGCAGTTTACTGCGACCTTCCTTAGAAAGTGGCATGCACATCCTGTGCGCAATATAACGGGCAATATGCTCGGGTGGTTCCCACTCAGCCGAGCGGGGATGAAGCAGGTCATCCGGATCAAACGGGTTACCCTGCTGATCCAGAAGCGCCGCGCCACTGCCCGCTCCCTGAGCAGCAAAACCCTGGGAAGGAGCAGCGCCCCCAGTACGGGGTGCTACGGCAGGGGGAGCTCCCTCCTCCGAGCCAGCCTCATCGTAAGAGGCATAATCCATCTCCTCAGACTCATCCTCCTCACTCCGGTCGCTCTCCGACCCCTCTTCACGGGATCTAGCCCGTTTCCATAATCTGGCAGTTTTTGCCTGACCAGGGGCTCTTTTGCGCGGTGGTAGCGCGCCATCTGTGACTGCCTCAGGCGAGTCAGTCAAGGCAGGTATAACCTGCGTCATGGAGTGGGAGGAGAGGTGTTTGCTCTTCACCATGGCCTTACGGGCTTTTGTGAGGTGGGGTTAGGGGCAGGACCCGCTCCCTGTAGGTTAGGGGTAGCCAAATGGGGGAAGAAAAAGGGACTGCACCAGAGTTTGGGAAAAAGAGGAGGACATGGCTCCCATAGCAGAGGCAAGCGCTCTCTGTAGAGAAGACGCCATAGTGGAGTCCAACAGGGCTTGGAACTCCTCAGATACAGCATGTTCCTCAGGAGCACCCAGAGGAAACTCGTCAATGTGGCCCTCAGGCCCATCACATTTATCCTGCAAGGTTGCAGGTGATGTATAAAATCAATCTGTGAGAAAAACAAATGTAGAAAAATAAGTATACAACAGCAAAGGAAAAAAGTTTTCAGGGTTTAGCAACCCAAAAGGAACAGTGTAATAGAGAAGGGACAGATACCATGGAAATTAAATAAAAAAGAAAACAACTACATCACTTCACATAAATAAACATGCACAAATCATAAAATTCACATAAGTAGCTATGCAATGGTGTGCCCTGGGAGAGGAGAGCAGAGCAGGGTATCTGCACAGCTTTTCGCCTGAGAACGAGGTCGGGAGAAGGGAAAATGGCCGCCGCACGAGGCAGGGAAGGTGAGACAGCCGAGAGACTGGGGGATGGGGCGTGCGCGCAGGAGGAGCGCGGCCCGAACCTCACACGCTTTGGAGCCGCCGCCGAGCTAAGCGGAGGCTCACCGGCGTGTACCCGATCAGGGTCGGGTGAAGACACTTCCCACCATCACCGTGACCGCTGCGCACAGCCGAAACAGACCCAGAGGAGCACACCACAGAAAATAAAATAAAATCGCAAAAGGAGTAAAAACTAACAGGCCCCTAATAAGCCACTAGGGCTAGAGAAAAAAAAGGGGCAAACAAGGAAAAAACAAGCAACAAAGAACATCAAATTACACAATTAATCACAGAGCATGAAAAGTATGTACTTAACTGGTCTGAGAGCAGCAAAGAAAGAAGGGGATTGTGGGTGCATCAAGCATGTTATAGTCACTTCCTGTGTTATGTGATTGGTTGCTTGAGCACTGTATTTTTTTGTTCATTTCAGTTATTTATTCATCTCTGTTTATTTGCTGCTGAGAGTAATAAAGAAAGAGATATGCATAATAGGAGCCTCCGTGTCTTTAATAAAATCTATGACAGCAGGAAGCAAAGATAAACTGCAAATAGATATTGTCTTTTAAAATCATTTTATTCACTTACTACTAATATTACTAATAAAGTAACACTATTCGTATTTTAAATAAAGCAATAATTAAAAATATAACCATATCGTGAATAAACATAATTTAAAAAAATAGCTCATTAAATGATATGTGGGAAATGTAAAACTACACGTGTAGGAATTAAAATGCACATTTAATATTTTGTGGTAGATTAATTGAGATTACGTAATCTTTTCATAAAATTTAGATTGGTAATTTCTAAAACACAAATGCAGACTTTCTAGGACTATCAGTGTATATATTTTAATACAAACTTTAGATTGTTTTATTGCTGACTACTGGCCTCAGATAATTATACAGAAAATATTTCCACAACATATTTTACCAAATCAGGAGGAATTTTATAAAACACGTATGGTACATATAACCGTTTATTAACATTGAATTGGAGTGAATTTATAACCAAAATGCTAATTCAAGCTAAAAATAGCAAGCTATTACTTGGAGAATTTTACCAAATCAGCTCTTTTTGGCTATATTTTGCAAATTTGTTTTCAGTTCTCTTCAGTTTGATGTTTATTGAAAGCTGCATATTTAAGTGTCCACCATATGGCATTACCGTTGCACAAGTAGATTTGGCTTTCAATCTTCGTACATACCAGTTGTCTTGTTGTTTGATCTTTTCCATGTTACAAGCCCTGCATGGATCAAATGTTTTTTAGTGAGGTCCAAGTGCTGTGGATATAAGAAGTTGTCTGTGTTACTGATTTGATAAACATTATAAATGCTATATATATATATATATATTGTGCAGTTCCAGTTATGAGCACTAGAAACGCTATGGCTATCTGTTTCCACACACGGTCTACACGTTGTTTGTGAAGACCTTCATGTGAGTTTTTCTATTTAATTATATTTGACCCAGGAGTGTCTGTGCAAGTGGGGGAAAATGGCCCCTGGGCCACTAGCATACAGGGGTTGTGGACTGCCGATTTAGATTTTTGTTGGGGGAAGTTAGCAAGACTGAAGCAGCAGACAGGATTTGTGTGGGATCTTTCGTAGACAAGGATTGTATGGGTTTGTGCGTGGTCTGGTCGCCCACGATCTCAATGCTCTCTTTGCCCTGACTGGATCATTGAGATATTTCCTGAAGGATTGCAGTATCTGGGCTGGCTAGGCTGTCATACTGTGATGGAGGTGTTTATTAGTGACCAGGTGAGATAGCGCTCAGTACATGCATAACACCTGCCAGTTATAATTGTTGGCAACGAAGTAGCAAGAAACAGTGTGTGTGTCTCCTAGACACTCAGATCTCTGAATGATCCATCATACTGTACAGGTCATACTGATGAAGATTGCAGGAATAGATTATGTCATGCCTTACAACTCCAACATCCTCCATCTGTTTTGTGCACAGTAAAAGCCCGCTCATTATACCCCTGCCCCCTGGATTAATAGTTGACATCCTGCTTCCTTGAATTATAGATTATAATATCCCTTCTCAGGATTACTGCAAACTCTGCTGCCGTAGGATGTTTGCTCTTTTTCACAGCCGTTTTATCCAGATGTTTCTGAATATCTGCCAGGGTTCGTTTATTCTTGATCGTAGTCATTGATGCATTTATATCTATCTTTTAATATAGCGCGGCACTGTTCCAGGCAGAGACGCAGTGCTTTAATTTCTTTTGATCCAGCTGTAAGAAGATAAATGATAGAATCTGTCAGATGATTTGTGAAATCTAGAGATGCTGGTTTAGAAGTAAAATCCTTAAACATTTACACTGGTCTCTATTACAAAAAGTACCCTGGAGTATGTTAACCCAGTAAATAATGTTCCATGAGAGATATTATGGGAAGGCCATAGACAGTACATGGATATTGATGAAATATGAGTAAATGTAAGCTCATTGGAACAGAGCCTTCAGCACCTTCTGTTTCTGTACGTTCAACTTTTCTTGTTTGAACTGCTTTTTGTTGTTAGTTCACCTATTCTACAGCGCTGCAGAATTTATTGTTGCTTTATAAATGATAATAAATATAAAAATGTGAATAATGGTTAACATCTAACAATGCCTCTAATGCAAGGGTTCCCAATCTGGGGTACAATCCAGTGCCCCTGGGGGTACGTGAAAAGAAAACAAAGTCGGTAATGGCGGCGATGCAGCACCACTGCAACGGTTTGAATCCTGGATTAAGGTCCATCGGGTGGCCTGTGCACTTAGGGCCACCCAATGGACATGTCCCATTAGGGGCCCGGTCGTGCTTTACTAGCTTGTGTGTTTGGGTCTCTGTGTGTCTCTGCATGTGTGTCAGTGTGTGTGTGTCTGTATATCTTCATGTGTATCAGTTTGTCTGTGCATCTTGTTGGGTAGTCTAAGGTTTTATATGTATGGAATATAGATTGAATAATATTCACACACACACACACACACACACATAGAGCCTTCAGGGACCCTGTAGTTCTTTGTTTTAAGCAGTGATATAAAAACACTTATGAACAGCAGATGGCCAATAAACAGACTTTGCTTAAAATATATATACATTTAATAATACACACTATAAAATGCAAAGCAACAAAACAATACAGCTATAATCAATTTGCTATAATATATATGAGTTTATCTCAACAAGTCAATTAGTTTACTTGACAAGCCTAAGAGTCAACATTACACTTTGTCTCATCTATAATCTTATCAGCAAAGGACAATACAAGCTAATACAAACTTCACAGCAGAACCAGTATACAGAATTATTCATATGACACCCCTTGCATTAATGATACAATTGTCATTTTATTAGTTAAATATCAACCAACCCTGCCAAGTATATACCATCAGTTTAACTACAGTACGTTTATATAAGGTTTCTGATAGCCTTAGTGTGTAGAGATATATATATATATATATTGAACTGCTCTACGTCTAAAGAAGGAATCAAGAATGTTCCGACTTAGGAAGTTATATCTGACTCAGGCTGCAGGTAGAATGAGATATAACTGTTCTATCAATAGGGATCAGGTCACAATATAGACACATAGTCCAGTTTATTTAATATAAAGTAAAGAGAAACCTTTATACATTACCAAGAGTCTAGGATGAAGGAATTCAATTTGGGATTCTCCTCCCTGGGTGCTCTCGTCTGTAACTCAGTCTATTGCCCTCCGTCAGTCAATCTCCTCCTTTCTAAGCCCTCTATTTTCTCCTTTGATCTTTTTTAAGATGATCTGAAGATATTGAATCCTCGCTCTTATTTTTCTCCCTTTTTAACAGTTATTTCCCCCTTATCAGTTCCTGCCCCTTGTTTGTAAATGGGCGGTACCTGGGACTTAAATCTGGCTTTTGATTGGTTATGGGCGTATCTTAATATTTAATTATTAATATGGCCCTTAGGGACTTTCATCAATAGATGGCACTATTTCCCTAGGTATGAAGACCTTTAATTCACCTATACTGGGGATATTTCAAATTACGTTAAATATCTGTCTTTGGTTATGTATATTCTTTAATTGAAACAGGGTTGGTTATATTAATCATGCAATATGTCTATATCCTGTATACATCTAACCTGTATGACTAACTGATTGACACATTAATATTTACAAAGAAAAATAGAATCTAATTATATTAGTATATCTATATTACCTTTTACTCTGAATCAGTCAAGGATGCAGTTTTAGACATTACATTTAGTTTACATTTGTATATCATGCATGATTCCAATAGATTCATTTAAGTTCTAATATCCTGAAAATATGGAAGCGACCTCAGACTTTGGGTTCATATGGCTGACAAACACTCTGGATTGCCTATGATGTTTATGCACAAACAAATGCATAGTATGTGTACCCCT